GGTGTTTCTGTTAGGCAACCTCTTGGTGAAACTACATCAACCCGTCCGTCTCACCCAGCTCATCTCTCAGATTGCTCATCTCTCAGATTGCTCATCTCTCAGATTGATCATGTCTCACTGAATCATCTTCGTCACAATCACACCAAATCAGCATCGCCCAAACAACAAGAGAAGCCATTCCAAAACCCACAATGCCGCCTCCGCCCCCAAACCCACCCCTGACCTTCACAACAGACACCTCCCTACCATCCATCTACACGACACCTCTGCCCCAGTCCCCCTCCCCGTCCTCGCCACGTCTCGTCGTCGGCGCCGCCGTCCTCCACCGCGACAGCAGCGCCAGCCCACGCATCCTGCTCGTCCAGCGCAGCCCCCACGAGTTCCTCCCCAACCGCTGGGAGCTGCCCGGCGGCAGCGCCGACGCGGTCCACGACGCGTGCCTCGCCGCCGGCGCCGCGCGCGAGCTGTACGAGGAGACGGGGCTGCGCGCGCGCCACGTCGTCTCGCTCGTCGGGAGCTACGCCTGGCTCGATGACGGGAGGACGTGGGTTAAGCATTCGTTTCTCGTCGAGGTGGAGGGAGTGGGGGCGCAGGCACCGCCCCTGGTCCGGCTGGATCCGGAAGAGCACCAGGACCACGTCTGGGCGACGGAGGAGGACGTGAGGACGGATCAGGTCGGGGAACGCACGCTCGCGTGGACGAGCGAGGAGCAAAAGGCTGATGTGCTGAGGGCATTCGCAGCGGACAAGGATACGTCGTCGTCTTGGTGATTGATCCTCTCGAGGCGTGAGCTTCTGCTGCGGAAAGCCGGATTTGTACGTCTATACAACATCATGTATACTCTCTACTTCCTCTTCGATCCCTTGCCGCCTCTGCCCCCCTTGCCTGATGACCCCTTTCCTCCACCGCCACCGCTGCCGCCGCCGCCACCACCACCGGCGCCCATCATGACCTTGAGCTTGCCCACGGGCACCGAGTTGACGACCTCCTCGGGCTTGAACGCCTTGATGAGCTCCACCTCGCGCGGCCACATGCGCTCCGAGTCCTGCGCCCGCTCGTCAACAACGCCCTTCTTCGTCGCCACGAGCTTCCACCGCTCGAGCACCTCCTTGACCGCCTTGCCCTTCTTGACCGGCCCCGGCTGGAACTTGACCTTGTACTTGAACCGCCCGAGCGCGTTCCACGGCGCGCACACGGGGATCGCCTCGACAATCTCGTCCCCGACGAGCGGCGTGCCCACGAGCCCGTCGAGCGCCGTCGCCTTTTCGGCCTCGTCCGCCTCGAGCAGCTCGACGCCCTCCTCGTGCATCAGCCGCCGGATCTCCTCGTGCTCGGCCGTCGCCTGCTGCTGCTTCTGGTGCTGCGCCCGCCGCCGCTCCTTCTGCGCCGCCGCCTGCGCCTCCCGTTCCGCCCGCGCCTGCGCCTCGGCCTCGGCCTTCTGACGCCCCGCCGCCGCTCCGATCAGCGCCTCGGCCGCCGCGCGGTCGTCTTCGTCCTGGTACTTGTACTTGGCCGCCATCTTCTTGGCCTTGCCCCTTCTTGCCTCGCTTCGCCGGTGCCGTCTTGGCGGGTGCGGGCTGCTTCGACGCCGCCGCCGCCGTCGTCGTCTGGGCGCTGCCCTGTGGTGGCGAGTCGTCGTCTGCCGCTTCGGACGCGCCTCCTTCGTCTTCGTCTTGTGGGTTGGTCTCTGCGGGTTCTTCCGCCTCGGAAGATACTTGTAGGTCCTTCATCTGCTCGACTGGCGCCGCTTGCTTTTCCTTTTCCTTTTCCTTTTCCTTCTGCTTCTCCTCGTCATCCTCCTCCTGCTGCAGCTGCTCCTGTCGCTCGCCATCCGTGTCGTCATCAGCATCAGCATCGGCGCCGTTGGTGCCCTGCAGCGGGTTGTCGCGCGCATCATTCTCTTGGTTGTCGTCAGCCTCGTCCTCATCCTCGTCCTCGTTCCCGTCGCCATCGTCAACGTCCAGCGCGCTGTCGGTAGCAGTGTCGTGGCCGCCGACGGCACCCGCCGGGCTCTCGTCGCCCCGCAGCCTGTGCTTCACGTGCTTGGCCTTGCTCTCCTCGCTGATCCTGAACATGATGCCGAGGCCCAGCACGAGCGGCGCCGGGGGCAGGAAGTTCTTCTGGCCGCGCACCATGAAGCTGCCCGCGGGCAGGTACTCGCCCGTCGGCGCCGACTTGGACACCTGGTCGGCCCTGACCCACCAGGCGCCCATGCCGGCCTTGGAGTCCCACGCGCTCGAGCTGCAGACCGACAGCATGCCGGCCTGCGCCAGCGTCGCCGGCGGGATCGGCGCGTCCGGCGTGTCCTGCCTGTTCTTGACAATGACCGTCGCGGCGCCGTGCATGTCGGCGTGGCAGTACACGTCGCCCTTGCGCAGGTACCGCTTGTACAGCGTCTCGTTCTGCTGGGCGTCCTTGCCGCCGAGCACCAGGTAGCCGTCCGACGAGATGAACCAGATGAACTTTTCGAACCACATCTGCTTCCGTATCGGCTGCAGGACCGCCTTCTCCTGCTTGAGCCCCTTTTTCAGATCCTCCGTAATCTTCTTCTCGGCATTCCTCAGCGCCATGGTCGAATGCTGCACCGTCTTCTGCTCCTTGACGGCGGCCGTCCGCCGCTGGTCGTAGTACTCACGCGCGTTGGCCCAGGGCGACAGGCCGAGGTTGATCTCGATCTGCAGCCGCCGGTCGGCCCCCTTGGCCTTGGCACCGTCTTCGTCATCCTCACTGTCGGACGCGTCCGATCCCGTCTCGTAGGCCTCGTCCTCGTCCTCGACAGCCTCCGTGCCGAGCAGGAGCGTCATGAGGTTCTCGCCGAGCTTGCGCGGCAGCTTGATGGTCTCGGCGACGGGGTTGCGCCGCTTCTGCTCCCGCTCGATGAGCTTGCCAATGTTGACCCAGTCCATGCCCTGCTGGACGAGACCGTTGACGGCATCCATGGCCTCCTGCACGCGCTCGACGTTGGCCTCGATGGCCGCGGCCTTTTGCTCGTTCAGCGACTGGGCCTCCTGCAGACCTTCGATGCGCTGGGCGTGGTCCTGGCGCGTCGCTTCGAGCTTCTTCTTGGCGGCGGCCTCGCGCTCCGTGAGCTTCGACTCGAGTTTCTGGCCCTCCAGCGAGGAGAAGAACTCGTCCACCGTCTTGTTGAAGCCGTCGAACGTGAGGACCTTGACGGAAGGGTCGTCGGCAAACTTTTGCGGCAGAAACGGGTGAAAGTCGTCGTAGAGAAGATCTTCTCGCTTCGTCTCGGCGCCGTCGTCCGGCTTTTCTTCCGTCTCCTCGCTCTTCTGCCTGTATTTCGCAATGACATAGCCCGTTGTCGTGGCCGAGCTCGTGGCGTCCTCGACGACCTTTCTGGCGACAGTCAAGGCGTGCAGCAGACTGTCGAGCAGTGCGTCGCTGTCGAGGAGCTCGGCCGGCGTCTTCGTCGGGTCGAAGCCGGTGACCTGGAACGCGTGGTCGACGAGCATGGGGGGCAGTTCGGTAATGGTCGTGGCGAGGCCCTTCCTCAGCTGGTCGCCTGGCTTGACCTTCTTCTTCCCCGTCGTCGGCGCGTTGGCGGCCTTGGCCGCCATGACCCTTAGTGCATCCTGCAGCCTCTCTCGCGTCAGGGGCGGGACGCCGCCAAAGTTTTGCCTGTTGTCGAGGGAGTAGCCGAGTCCGACGCGCTGGGGTTCCTGGCCCTCGCCCTCGGGCACGTTCCGCAGCAGGGTCAGGATGCGGAGCTCGGCGTCGGTCAGGATGACGTTGCCACTGGCGAAGAACTCGAGGAAGAGTCGGTACTGGCCATCGCTGAATGTAAACTCGATGATTCTGTCGGTTCCGACTTGTGACACGGCCGTCAGGCGTCTCGTCTTGAGGAACTTGCGCAAACGTGCCACAAAGGCCGAAGGGGCAGCAGCGGTGGTGCGCGCAAAGTCGGTCAGGTGGCAGCGGAAGCCCGAGTCGATGAGAATCTGCTTCTTGTTGTCGGGCTTCGCAAACTTCAGCAGCAGGATCTTGGAGGACAGGTCGTAGACGTTGGCAAGTCGAAGGGTGACGAGACTTTCGTGGAGCTCGTGAGCGATGACCTGGGGCGGCGCGTTGGTTAGCAATTCGATGATGCAGCCAGCCTTTTGGTGGTGTAGCCAGCCTCTCGGCGGTGTAGCCAGCCTTTCGGCGGTGTAGCCAGCCTTTCGGTGGTGTAGCCAGCCTTTCGTGGTGTAGCCAGCCTTTCGTGGTGTAGCCAGCCGTTCGGTGGGTGCAGGCAGCATACCTTGACGTCAAGGGACGAGAATCTCTGCTTCATGATCGAGATGCGAGGTCCTGGGCTCGCGGCTGAACGGCAATACAAGTTCTGGTGCTACTTGATGATGCAGCAGAGGAACGAGGGGCACTTTTGGTGGTGCCGATGATGCTGCCAAAGATGCAGCAGCAGCCGTGTGGCGGCCGCGGGGCATTTGTGGCTTATTGACGAAAGGCTGAGGGGCTCAACTCAGCTGCATGACGTAAGGGTCCGTATGCAGCAGACCGAAGACCAAGTACCTAGGTACGTACCTACCTACGTACGTACCTAAGGTAGGTACAGTGGGGTGTGCCTAAGGTACCTAACATCGTCGCCTTCGTGCCGAGTCCCTCAGTGTCACCATTTTGGCTATCAAGGCGGCACCCAACAAAGGCGTCATTGAGCTCTCGAGTTTGACCTTAGCACGCCCCTGTGGATATAAGCTTACACGCTACGCCATACGGCTGGCACAATTCCGACTTCTGGCAGGGTATATCGTACGCGTGATATCATTGACTGCAATACACCTTGTTCCCCTCAGATGTCATGCCTCCGTCTAAAACGTCGAGACAAGCCCGACCGAATCCCCATACGCCGTCCGCCTGTCGCTCGTCGCTCTTGGTATGCATGGTACACGCGCTTCACCACACACCTCCGTCCGCCTTAGCCTGCTCATCGTGTGGTGATGCCCAGCGCGTCTCTCTCTCTCATCTTACAAAGCGTCATCTCCACCCGCTCACGGGGTCTCCCGGCCAGTGGCAAACAACAGAGGCCACTCAATCAGTTCCTTCCATGCCGGCGACAGGCAATCTTCTATAGAGCACAGGGCATTGCGTCCCCATCCCCGCATGTACCAGGTCGTCGGCTCGACAGCCGAGACGATGACGCAGTAGTATGCGAGAAGCGACAAGGCCGCAGGGTCCCGCTGCCGCAGTAGCGAGATGTAGTCGCCCGACAGGTCAATGGGCCATGTCAACGCGATGCGGTTCTCCGGCAGCGCCGTGGTTGCCGTCGCACGATGTATCCAGCTGATCAGGCCCTCGAGCTCGCGTGCGACGACAACGTTGGTGGGATCGATCGCTGCGTTGAATGTCATCAGCCGCGCTGCTACCGAGTCGAGAAGCGGCGTTGACGTCGGCGGCGCCGTCTCTTGGGCGAACAGGTGGCCAAGCGTGCCGCGGCGGATCAGTAGCTCGGACGCGTCGAGAATCTCGCTCATGCCGCGGATGAGGAGGAACACGTCGAGAATGTTGTCGACCGTCGGGGACGGCAGTGGCTGATCGGGACTCGAGGACTGCTGCTGGTGCGGAAACATGGCGTAGGCGCTCAAGAGGAGGAGCGACGACGCAGCGAACAGGGGGTCGCAATTGGCAGCCGTGATGCGTGGGAGAGCCGCACGCATGCCGGCCACGGCATCGGTCTGATGCTGCGAGGCCGTCAAGGCGTACGCAGCCCGGCGCTCTGGTCGTAGAGTAGCGAGATGCAACGCCGAAAAGGCGAGGACCTGATGAAGCAGGAACACGTGAGTGAGAGCGATCTTGGGGATCTCAAGCTGCCAGACGTGCTGAAGGTCCGCAGACCGCGGCAGCGTGAGACAGGCACTGGTGGAGTAATGGTGCATGAGCTCCAGGTCGGTATACCACGTCCCGATGGGCACGACGGCGTACGGATCACGGTCGGGCGTTGAGAGGGGCGTGGACGACGACATGGGGCGTATTTGCTGCGGACCAGAGGCGGACAGGTCCCGTCGGGGCATCGCTGAGGGCCCTGGCACTGGACGGTCAAAGCTGCCATTGCTGCTGCTCCGAACAGTGCTCAGACCCATGTCCCCTGGTGGTGATGCATGTTGCTGCTCGTCGGGTGATGTTGCAGCCGACGGTGGTCCCTGGACCAGGCTACACTCAGTGCCATGCCTCACGCACGCGGTGCAAGGCCTCTTCTCGTCGCACTGAAGAAGAATTAGTGGATCAATTCGCACAGCAAACGTAGCACACGATGACGGCGGCGCCGGCGGCGTTTGGCGAGGGCAGGGCACATCGCAGCGCGCTGCATGACACCGCATACATGCCCATGCCCAGCCCGGCCGGCCACCCGGTCGGAGAAGAGGAAAGGTGCTGCATACCTTGACACGGCGGCGCTTGCATCGGGCACAGCCACCGCGAGACTTCTTGTAACCCAGACGCGGCGGCATGGCCACGGGTCTGGACACGGCTGGACCCAGTGTAAGCCTGGAAGGAAACGGTGAGTCGTGGGCCCTTCACTGCGAGACCGAGACCGAAAACGCTGAGCCGCACGATGATCTGGATCTGGATCTGGATCTTGAAAGGCGTTTCGAGTTTGCGGGTGGCTCAGCTACAGTGACGGAATCGCTGTGCCTCACTCAAGACGAGGTCGATGTGGACGCGGCAAGGCTGCGGATAGCGGCTGCGGAAAGCGAAAGCGAGTGTGGGGGGAGGGGGCGAGTGATGGATATGAATGGTTGGGGTTGGGTGAGTTGGGTGGAGGACGCGACCCAAGTGCCGAAGAAGTGGGTGGATCAGTCTGGGCGGTCGATCGCCTTCTGCCACAGGGTTATATCTGTAGGGGCGGGTAATGAATCAGGACGCGCGCCGTACAGTGTCGTGTGTCACGGACGGGTTGACGCCGGGTCGCGCAGGCAATCCTTGTCCTGATGGACGATGGTTGAGCGTCTCGTTGTTCAGCTTGAGCGAAAGGACCGATCGAATCATCCGGCTCGTCGGCGGTGTGCATTCGGCTACCAGGCCAAAGGGTGCGAAGAAAGGCTCTGAAGAGGATTGGCGCCCTGTCAGGGCGAAAGCGAGGACAAGGGCAAAGGCGAGGGCGAGAGCCAGCAAAGAAGTATGTGCCTTGGAACTAGAGAGCAAGCCAGCAAGTCCGCCTTGCGTGAGGACACGAGTCATTAGCAAGGTACGCAGGCGCTTCCGGCGATGTGCTGGAACAGGGGCACGGATTCTGCCGGACCGTGCTCTCCTGTACTCCAAAGGCTGAGTGAGGTAGGGAGGGTGTGAGCTCTGACCTGACGGGCTTCAGGCATTTGCAGTCTGCGGTGCACCGTCTGTGGTCTGACGTCTGAGGTGGCATGTTCTTGAATCCTTGTTCCAGTGACGGCTTTGAATTGCAAGGCAGAGTCGCTGGCAGACTTGATGAGGTTCCGGAGACCGACACCTCATCGTGCGGAGTGGAGTTTTGCCGGGTCGACTCTACAACCCGAGCAAGGCTCCTGGAATGAGCAATTGTGGACGACGAGATGAGTGACAGCACTGAGTGAGACAAGTGCTGTCTGCCGTGTCTAGGCCTACCTGGACCCCCAAAACCTTGGCTGGGATACGCAACCTAACAAGACAAGTCAATCCATCAGTGGCACCTTGGGGTGGTTATGCCAGCTCCGCCAAAAGGACCCTTGACCTGATTTGTACTCAAGCTTCGTATGCTGCGGCTCTTTTAGCCTCCCAATAGGCAACGGGCAGACGCTCATCCTGGAGCTCACCTAATCCATTCGGATCCACTGTCTCGTCCGCGGCAAATCAACGCCCAAAGCGAAACCGAGGGCTCAGCGTAAGGCATGATAGTGTGCTTCTCGAATATCGTTCCAGTGCATCGGGTAGGCACTTTCTGTTGGTGAAGATTGCGTAGATTGAATTGAACTATCAGAGCAAGGGAGTTGGTCTGGGGCGGATTGCCTTGACCTCCCCTGACGATGATAAAACAACGACATGCCCAAGTCGCAGTGGTAGAAAGACTCCTATTGTCAGCATGCCAAACATCCATCATCAATATCAACTTACAACAGATACCTAATTCCCTCCTTTTCGTACCGCCTCCCCGTCCTTGCCTCACGCTTTCGGTAGCCAGACTGCTCCGCCGTTGATTGACCCGACAACTTCCCTCCTCCGCAAGACGTACGGTTCGACAACGAAGACGTCATGGCCTCTTTCGCCAACAGCGGCTTCTTCGCCAGCCGGTACAAGTTTCGCCTTCACATCGTCCAGCTTGTCCTCATCCACATTGTCCTGGGTCTCGCAGGCGCGCGTGTCTTCATGAAGAACCAGCCCCGGGGCAGGGGTAACACAATAGCCCTTGGCATGGTATGCTGGCACCGACTTATCGGGAGAGACGGACAATGAACTGACAGCGCGACATCATAGGGCGCCAAATCCTTGATAATCATCTTCTATCAGCTGGCCACGGAACACATTGCGCGTTTCCGAAGGTGGTCGAGCCTCAAAGCTTTCGCCATTCTTAACTGCCTCGAGATCGTTTTCTGGGGTGCTGTCATCTTCCTTGTCATGCAAGGAAACCTGCAGAGATGCGAGGGAACCGGCTGCATCTTGAACTGGATCGTCTTTGGCGTTTCAATTGTCATTTCGTAGGTTGCGCCCCGCCTCGCTCGTCTGTGGGATCTTCTCGAGCTGCCGCTGACCTTGGCCGTTTTCTCTGCATAGCATCCTCTCGTCATGGGTGGCCGTCATCTCCGTCCTGGACTTCCGCTTCTTCCGCGCCAACGGCGTCCGCCGAGACGATATGTCCCTACGAGGCGGAAGCGAGAGCGGCGTGCCATTCCAGAGCAACCCTGTGCAGCGCAACAGCCGTCACTCGCATCGCAACAGCCAATCGCGCAGCAACAGCAACCAGCACCCAAAGAGCCCATCACACCGCAAGAGCTCCTCGCAACAGCACAAGAGCTCTTCGCATCAGCACAAGACCCGCAGGCAGCACAGCAACCCTCAGTACGACAGCAGCCCCCAACATGAGACCAGCCCTTCGTACGAGGCCAACCCTACATATGACAACGGTGCCACATATTACAACAACCAGCAATACCCAAGCAACCAGGCGAAATAGAGCGTTGCTTCACAGCATCCAGAGATGAACAGCCCAAGCTTACTTCAAGCTTTTCGGCACGTGTGACAGGGCCTCAAGCATGCCAGCGGTGGACTTAGTCGGGGGAATGTGTGGTGCATGGCGCAGGGGTCCCGGGATATTCGTACATGGCTTCGTCCATTTTTTGTTTTCTTCTCCTTTGTCGATAGACCGGTTGCTAGCGTTTGCTTTCCGGATTTTTAGGTCCTGGTTGTTCGAGCTATGCTGGTATGCTGCTCTGGAAGGTAGCATGGCATGCGAAGTAAACTTAGCAATAAAGCGTTCGGAATTCAGAAGTCATCTCCAAATTACCTGGTGAGAGCCCGGCGGACCATCACGTCGTTGCCTTCCGCCAGGACCCTTGTCTCAGTGGCGTTCAGCATTTTTCAGTCGTGGACTAGAGTCTTCGCTGAGGAGAGCTTCGTGTAACGCTCTCAGGAGGTTGTCTCGCTGGTGATGAAGACGGATGAGATGGCTCTTCCCGAGGAATGCGTGTCCACGAGCGGAGCACGTGATGTGTTGAACCGTGAGTAAGAACGACATCAGGGACGACCAAATGGGCAGGTGGAAAGGGAGATGAAGCTCGCTCCTCCCTTCGTGTCGTCGGCATTCTGCTGGTGGCAAGTGGTACCATGCACATGCCAAACGACATGGCATGAGGCGAGGTGGGGTAAGAGGCGCGTCGCATTGTTGAGCGTAGCTGCCATTACCAGCAAGCGAGCTATACTAAAAGACCATCAAAGTCCACCTCAGGGACAGGACCTTTTCTTCTCCAGCTGTGACCTGCTCCTTTCTCCCCTTCCGAGGACGACATGTGCTTTCAATCAAGTTGGACATATTCAGGGTCGCCCAATTGATCACGGGGCACGCATCAAAACCTACCTACCCTAAATGTACGCAACGAAGCCGTTTCGTCACAACATCTTCCATCAGATGCCCTTCGTTCGCGTCGCCCCAGCGCCAGCCTTGTTAGGCGCTCCAGTTCTCACTAGAGAATCCCGACCGCCCAATCGCACACCCTACGATTTCGCTTCCATGTCATAAGCTCTCCACACATCTGACATATGATACCCACGATGGAAGGCGACACGTCTCCTTGTGCAGAAAAAGAAGCAAGCAAATCACACTCTGATTCGGTCAGGCCGGAACGGTTTGTGCTTCCCCAACCTGGACATCCCAAGTCATGGCTTAGCTGACCGCCAATCGAGTCCTCCCACGACCGCCAGTCGAATAGCCCAGCCGCCCGAATGGCCCCTTCGTCTGCAAGTATCCTGCATCGAGGAGGTTGGAGCTCTGCTGATCGGCACTCTCCAGTTCGGCCACCTCAAGATGCAGTAGCCTGCATGGCGGCCTGGCCTTTGCTGGTCGACGTTCGTCGTTGGTCACTGGGCAACTCGGCCGCTGATCCACGCATGTTTTATGCTTCGCCGAGGCGTGCATAACACGAAGCTTCAGCTTGTGCACGGCACCCGTGGCGTGTGTCCGAGCTCCTCACTGGCCGCTGGTTGGCGAGAGATGAGTGGTTCCCCCAGGATGCGACACCCAGCCACTGCCACGCGCATGGGATAGGAGAGAGAGAGAGAGAAACAGCACAGGCGGGCGGGGGCAAGAGACAAAGGATGAGATTCAATTCACAAACGCACTTGTCGGGGCCATTGGCCCCCGGGAATCAGTCGAGGAGGGATCCGAGCAGAGCGCGGTGGCCATCTTCAACAACCGAGGCCCGGTCACGGGAAGAAGGGGAAATGAAGCTGGGGCACTTCTACAACGACACATCAAATCAACGCCCAGCCAACTTTCACAAGCAAGAAAGAGCCAAGAACCTCGACGCGTCCTGCACGCGGTGGGCTACTGCAGAAGAACGGGGGTCTTTACGAAGCGGAAACGGAAGCGGACAGGCGAGGTGGAGGGTGAGTGGGCTCAGTCAGGGGGGACCTGCATCGCACAACGCTATCCCCGTTCGAGGCCGAGTAAACAAATCGACAGGACCACAGCACTCCCATACGCCCAGATGTCCCAGCTGAGCTCACAGAAGGCCGGGGACCAACCCCCTGATCAACCTGTTCTCAGGCTCGACTCCTTGTTGATCGCTCTGTGTTCGACGCACACCCTGCCGCGGCAACCTCCTGCCACGCAACAGTGCAGAGCCCCGTCCACAAAACCCAATCCGCGTCGCCAGTCTCGCAGCTCCCATCCTCCTCTTCTCTCCCCCTCCCCTCCCCTCATCGATCTCAAGCCAGACACAGCAGACCGCCTCGCCTCGCAGCCTCCAACCAACGTTTCCCGCCTCTACAGAGCAGAAGTGTGAAAGACAGTACAAGAAGCGCGTGGTGCCATCAAGCCCGGCTTCTTCCCGCCCTTTCTCCTTCTACTTTGTTTTCCAGGAAACAAAGCAAGAGGAACTACTTCTTCTTTTGGCCCTGATCCTTTCGTGCCACAGAGCATCGGAAGGTCGCTGAAAGAGGAGTTGTTCTTCGTTGCGCTCCAGAGCCGCCACCCTGGACTTTGAAGCCCGCGTCCCCGTCCCCTTCAGCATCTTCCCTTCCACCTACAAGGAAGGCGAGACCCAGACAACCACCACCACCGAGACTCACCAGGAGCTCGAGATCCAGCTCCCCCCGACCCAGCAGCAGCCGCAAGCCCCCGGACGGGAGGAGGCTCAGCAATACTCGTCCTTCACTGCGACCGCCCAGCTCCCGCCTCGTCGTGAGCAGCAGCAACAGCAGCAGCAACAGCAACAGCAGCAGCCTCAGCGCTACACCGAAGAGGTCCGCATCGAGGAGCACTTCCACCGTCCGGGCGTTCAGCACCAGGAGACTCGCTACCACGAGGAGCACCGGTAAGTACCAAGAAAACAAACCTGTTCATTCTGTCTCTATCGCAAATCTCTCTCTTTTCGCTTCACCTCTGCTTCCCCCACGGTCAACCGGACAACGGGACTCTCCCACCCTGTTGGCGGCCACCGCGGGCACAAGCCGGGCGGAGAGAACCACCAGGCACTTCAGCTCGTATTTCCACGCAACCCCTTCATCTTCTCCTCTCAGCGGTGGGCGGGTGGCTTGGGCGGTCCGTGGGGTGTGCTGGCGAAATTGCTTGCTTCTCCGGTTTGCAACTGGTGGATCACCCACGACGCCTGGCCAGACACACCCCGGACCCAAAACAAACCCAACCAACCACCCCTACCTCGTCACCCCCTACTAGCCCAGTTGTCCGAGTGACAAAACAATCGGTGAAGAAGAATTTCCCATCGAGCTGGAGCTTCATCACCTTTAGCTACCTTAACATCACTTCACCTACACCCTCTTCATCCATCAACCCCAATTCACCATCTCGATTCATCCACGATTAGGACCTCCACAGACTGACGCAATACATCTTCAGTCCTCAGCGCCACGACTTCTCTGAGAGCTACGTCGAGGTCGACCGTACGCACCAGCACTACGATACCCCTCTTGACTGCATCGAACGCGAGTACCGTGAACGTTGCCAGCCCCGTAACAGCCGCGAGGAAGTAAACAACTGCGACCGCCCCGGCCGCATCATCAACGCCGAGTACACGGTCGAACCCGCCCGTACTCACCGCCCCAGCTTCCGCGAGACCGCCCGCGAGAAGGTTAAGTACACCGTCGAAGGAGCTGCTCGCCGCTTCCGCGAAACCAAAGCCAAGATGGGTTACTACGATGACGATGGTAAGCCAACAGCCCCTGTTGATCCTCTGAAACTCTCTTACCTAGTCCCCCCCTCCCCTGCTTTCTTACCGTCCTGCCCTGGCTCGCAAGTCCCTATATCCTCCCCCATGAGCACTCCAGCTGAGTTGCGTTTGTCATTTTCCTATCTATCCAGGCCACTATCACTCCTTCCGTCAGGGCCTGTACAGGTGCGCTGACCGACTCGTCCACCCTAAAGGCCGTGATGAGCACGTCCACGCCGACAACGATGTCCGCCAGCCGTGCCGTCCCAGCCCCAGCTGTCCCCGCCCCAGCGGCGGCAACCAGGGCCCTTGCCTGCCCAACACGGTGTCGATTCCCTGCAACCACATCCGCATGGGCGACTTCCTGATGCTTCAGGGCCGCCCCTGCCAGGTGATTCGCATCTCGATCTCGGCTGCCACCGGCCAGTACCGCTACCTTGGTGTCGACCTCTTCACCAAGCAGCTGCACGAGGAGTCGTCGTACATCTCCAACCCCGAGCCCAGCGTGGTCGTCCAGACCATGCTCGGCCCCGTCTTCAAGCAGTACCGTGTCCTTGACATGCACGATGGCCGCATCGTCGCCATGACCGAGACTGGTGACGTCAAGCCTGACCTCCCCGTCATTGACCAGTCCAACCTCTGGTCCCGTCTCAACACTGCCTTCGAGTGTGGCCGTGGCTCCGTCCGCGTTCTCGTTCTCAACGACCGCGGCCGTGAGCTCGCCGTCGACATGAAGACGATCCACGGCTCTCGCCTGTAAGCGGCATCTCGATGCTTGCTGTGCTGTATGTATCTGGGTGGAGCTGGATTGAGGAGTAGCAAATTGGGACTTTTTGAAGATTGGATAACCTTGGCACCAGGGCCCGCCGTGTCTCTGGTGTTAGGCAGTAGTGTACATGTCTGTAATTGACTTGGTGTCCGTATCTACGAATCCCGAAAGGGCGATGGCGTGACATGTTGTGACTGGTGTATGGCTGGTAACGAAAGCCGGCTTGCGTGGCATGGTGCCTGCAGGCACCTGGATGGCCAGCCGCAGGTGCTGACCCCTGTCTCACCTGCTTCGTTTAGCGCGGAGACTAAGGAGCTCAGGTGCTCCTCCCCCTCACGACTGATAAGAGCTCCTTGCCTTGATCTCAACCAGCCTCCCCCTCTTGAACTGATGTTCATTCCTGTCATCAGGTCCATGCCATTCGAGAGCGTGAGTTTGGACTGAAGACTGACCTGGATTGCTATCAATTTACTACCTGCCCGAATCATCAAGACAAACCCTACGATGGGAGCCCAACTCTCAACGCATGACGCTGCCGATAAGGCCCTTGTCGATCGCCTCGAAGGTCTTCAGGTCCGCAGCACGTCCAACGACTTTGTCCATGTATCTAAGGATGGGTCGCAGAGCGAGAAGCAGGCTCTTTCCAGACTTATCCATCGCGAACCAGAGGGTATCTCTGTCAAGCTTGTAGAAGACTGGCAGAGCACCTTTCTCAAGGACCCCAAGAACAGGTATGCCGCTTCGCAATGCTCACTGCCGTGACGCGTCTTGCGTCTTACGTTCGTTATCTTCCAATGCACCGACTAATTCTTCTCCAGGTTGGCCCTTTCTGCCCTCAGCAATGCCGATCCGCGTACCGTCCTGACGTCTACACCCGCCACGCTGTCTGACCCTCAAATATTCAACGTCCGCATCCCCCTCGAGGGAACGCCGATAACAAACCAGCGCTCTTCCGGCCGCTGTTGGCTCTTCGCCTCGACGAATGTTTTCCGTGTTGCCCTCGCCCGCCGCTACAACCTTGCGGGCTTCGAACTATCACAGTCCTACCTTTTTTTCTGGGACAAGCTCGAGAAGGCCAACTGGTTCCTCGAGCAGGCCATTGCCACGGCTGCCGATCATGACCTCGACTCCCGACTCGTGCAGCACCTCCTCGGTGACCTCATTTCAGATGGCGGGCAATGGGACATGGTCTACAACCTCGTCGACAAGTATGGTCTCGTGCCTCAATCCTTGTACCCGGACTCGTGGAATGCCCAGAATTCGGGTGTCCTCAACTCCGTGCTCAAGACGAAGCTGCGCGAGTATGCCCTCACCCTCCGCTCTCTTGTCAACGAGCAGAGCGCTACTGCTCAAAGCGTCAAGGACGCCAAGTCCAAGATGCTCCAGTCCATCCTGGGAATCTTGACCCTGACACTTGGCGCACCGCCACACCCGCACGAGGCCTTCGTTTGGACCTACGAAGACAAGGACGGCAAAGCCCATGAGCTGACATCGACCCCGCGCGCCTTTGCCCGCGACATCTCCTCGAGTCAATGCCGCGTTTCGAGCGCCACCATTGCAGGTATGGTCTCGCTCGTGCACGACCCGCGTCACGACCCCTTGACCCTCTTGACCGTCGACCGCCTCGGCAACATTGTGGGCGGCCGCCCAGTCACCTACGTCAACGTCTCCATTTCCGCCCTCAAGGCAGCCTGCGTGCGCCAGCTTCGCGCCGGCCTCCCCATCTTCTTCGGCTCTGATGTGGGCAAATTCAGCTCCTCGCGCTCCGGTGTCATGGACCTCGACCTTGTCGACTACGAAGTCGGCTTCGATGTGAGCCTGCTCGCAATGTCCAAGGCCGATCGCCTGCGCACGGGCGAGTCGCAGATGACCCACGCCATGGTCTTGACGGCCGTCCACATCGACGACAAGACGGGCCGCAGCGTCCGCTGGCGCGTCCAAAACAGCTGGGGCGAGGCCGCCGGCGACAGGGCTGGTTCGTCATGAGCGACGCCTGGATGGACGAGTTTGTCTACCAGGCCGTCATCGATCCCCGCTTCCTCGACAAGGAAACAAAGGACGTCCTCAGGCAGGAGCCGGTCGTGTTGCCGCTGTGGGATCCCATGGGCAGCCTGGCATGAGGGGCAACCTATTTCAGGAGCAGGTTTGCAATCTGGTCTGATAAGTTATAGACAGTATGTACGTGTTTTTGGTTCAGCCTATATCAGCATGAAGCATGAGATATTGAAATTGATTTCCTTGAGGGCTCCCGTCGTTGAGTCGCATTACTACACCAGGCCCGATCATACCTACTCATTGGAGAATTGAACACGCACAGCGGTTTGTCTGTCGTGCGCTACTTGTGAAGACCTGCCCCGGTGATCTGATACAGTAAAGGACCGACCATGTCTACATGTTCAAGCAGTGCAATACGCAGGCCTTGAGTCGAGGTTCCCTGCTTGGATCCGAACACAATGCAGTTCGTGCAAGATTTCGTTGAGTGGACTGGCAACTTGGTCAACCAAAGTTGAGTACCATACCAAGACCATGCCCTAGAGCCGATTTGTTACAAGCACCACTGTTCGCTAGTAGTATTTGCTCGTCGTGGCAGCACCCAGCATGATGAATCAGACATGATTGACAACCACGTCAGCAACGAGTAGCGTATTTGCATAGATAGACGCCGTTCAGAAGGAGCTCAAAGCCTGGCGCAGATCTCTCTGTCCAGTCATCCAATTCCGGCTAAGGTGCCTCGATGTTGGACTTGTCAAAACATCGGACGGGACCCAAGCAGCTGCTCCTAATGCCGTTGACAGGTCAACCGAGAACAGGGCTCACTAGTACGGGACCCAGTAGACTTCCAGAAAACTATCGCCGGGAACTGCCGTTGACGTCTCAACGGGCAGCAGCGAGAGGCAAAGAGGGGGGGTCTCAGCAATGGTGGGCCAAGTGACATGCCCTCCGCAGCCCCGGCACATCAAAGGCTCAGGCACAGCATCAAGATATGTGGGCAGGCGAGCGCACCTCGTCATCTCATCGCCCGAGTTCAATCGGTCTCGAGCTAGGAGAAGGCGTTTGTCATTTGTCCTGACAGCGACATGCGATGGCAAGCAAATTGGGCCCGGCGGGCTCCGCCATGTCCCCGATTCAAGCAACAGGCCGGGATGATCCCTCGGGCGGGTCTCCGGTGGCAAGCACGGCCGTCTCTGCCCAACGGACAATTGGGAATTGGGAGACAATGTGAAGAGAGCAACGCAGGGGCATGGCCGGGCGCAGAGTCTTCGTGGCAGCGCGCGGGCGTGCTTGTGACGGCTTCGTTCCTGGGAGGGATAGCCCGGCGTGCGAAGAGGCTATAGGCGACAGCGCAACGTGGCGGCAGGGTCATCAGGTATCTTGAAAGTCAGTTGGCTCGTTATGGTCCCCAGCCCTCCATCTGGCACGAGATGTGGTGCCTGTTCGTCGATCGCTTACCAGACAGTCGACGGAACGGAGCTGTCTCCTTGGACGCGCCGCCTGATCGTTGTCGTTACACCCAAGGTTGGCCAGCCGGCTGTGAGGGCGAGGAGCGGTGAGGAGCGTCCTCGGGCTCGAACGTGCGGTGTTTGTTCTCCGTGCCCGTACATGCAATCTTGGGCAGGGAGATCTGCTCGAGGCTATGCCGTGAAACTTTGAGGGTCGACGGCGAGTCTGGCGGTAGTTGTGGATCACGCGCGGATGTCGGACGTATAACGTCCATAATTGCAAATCGTCGGGCACTGTGGTTCTGGACCATTCGTGAACTGGCTTGCCTGACCTGACTTGCGTAGCTGCATCTTTCCGAGCCCCCCCCCCCCCTTCGTGGATTTTACGCATCAAGTCCAATGGACTCTGGCGCAGAGATCTCCTTTGGTCAACACTGGCGACGACCAATGCTTGGGCTGATATCGGCCGTTCCTGTGTAACATGTAACAGGGGGGTGGGGTTTTCGTTGGGTTGCGAAATGGGGTGCTCGTTGCAGCCCAAGGCTGGTGCTTGTCAGGCGCTTGACGGCCGTTGCCCTGGGCCGCGAAGACCATTAGCATGACCTGGTCCACGATGCAGCCAGCTGGGCTGAGGATGGCTTCGAAGCGCCCAGGTTCGACTTGGCCTCTCGATCGAATCGGCATGGAAAGGGATGTCATGAACCAGTGGCCAGGTGGGTTTGTTCGGACACCAGGGAGACAGGCGTCGTGCCACTGTGGGTTCCAAGGGCTGGCAACTGAAGAAGAGGGCCATGTAATTGATTGATTCACGAAGCATGCATGGGCATGAACCCTTGCTCGCATTAGTGGGTTGTGATGATGCGAAGTTGGTGAACCAGACGAAAGGACGAAGAAAAGGGTCGTGACCGCTCCTCAAGGGGAAGGTGTTGAACTTCCCACCTCATCTCACTCGGGAAGTGACCACCAACATCGTCACTCCTTCCGTCTGCCCTCCCTCAGCCGCGACAGCGACCGCCACCACAACCACAACCACAACCACAACTTCGTTCCTGGAATCAAAGCGTTCTACAGCATTCAACTCTGCAGCTCGACCGTTCTGGAGCACGTCAAGAAGCTCGATACTTCAGAAGCAGCCCACACGCCTGATACTCTGTCTCATTTCATCGGCATGCAATAACTGCATTCTTTCCCACATCTTTCTTGTCTGTCTCGTTAGCAAGACAGATCAGCATCCCAGCATTCAGGAAGCTCGATCCGAAAGTCAGGGGGACCAATCGAAGATCCAGAGGCAACCCGTCTCGGTTATGAACCGATACGAGAACGAAGGCACCTCCGTCACGGTATAAACTCAGCCAGCGAGCGTATCCTGGGAGGGCATCATCGGTCCGGCTTGGCACCCTGAAATTCGATCTTTCATCATCATCAACCAGAGAAACCACATCTTGGCATCCTGAGCCACCACGCTGGTGGGATCAGAAAGAAACAGACATCTGGATCTCGGGACGAGGGGACGAGACATCATTGTGTTGACCGACGCGTTGCTACATCGAGCCGCTGCATGGCCATTCCCTTACCCTGCTCGCCTACCTCCACAACCCAGCGTACTGGCCACCCACGAGCAGTTCTTCGACGCTTCACTGATATCTGGAAACCCCGCTGCTTCCACAGCAGCAATAGCAGGCAGCTGTCTCGCTTCCCCGCCACAGACACCAGGTTTCGCTGTGTAGCACCACACTAAACCACGCGACAGCAGCATTTACTCCTACTTGGCCGACACCACACAGTCCTCATCACCCTGCATAAAACGACCGGCTAAGACAGGACAGCTTGTCGCACAGCCTTTGCTCGATTTTCCGATCATAGCTGGGCGCGAACAAGCCGCCCTTTGCGATCCTGGGCATATATTGAACCCAATCGACCATTCCCGGCCTCCCCGGGCCTGCGGCAGTCGATCCCCCCCGTGCTACCATCATTGTCAACCAAACAGGCCCAGCGTCACGTCATTGCCCCCGAATAACCAGCGTCTCCAATTCTGCCACAGTTCACATTTCTCCTCCGTCTGCCTCTCCACTCGCCTTCTCTGAGCTCATACTGACCCGGACCTTGCTGGTATCGTTTTACTTTTGTTGGATACGAACCCAGTCAACCGGACCACGCTGCTTCTCATGGTCATCCCCATCACATAAATCGCACGCGTCATCTCTCTTGGCCTGCAGGCGCATTGCATATATCCACAAGCGCACAGGGCCAGCCAAAAGCCGGGCCTCTACTCAAATCGGTGTGGCCGTTTCTAAGGGGCCGCATCGCAATACCACCCTACCGTCACCGAACTGAGCTTAATGGTGAACGTGGTGGTCTGACGCGAGCCACAATTCCAGGCCGCCTATCGATACCAGCTGCGTCTGTTTACCAAGCACGCCGCTCGCCTCGGGACGACGTCGAAAGCATTTCACCCCAATTCGCCCTGGAAACCCGGCCCGTTGCTATCCGGGCTTGTCATCCTATTTTCCGCTGTTTAACTCCAGTTGGTCATCGCCAAAGACACGCCGCGGGAGCCGGTCACTGTCCCTTGTCATCACCACCCCGTGGCCCCGCTATCGATACCACATCAACCTGAGAAACCCTCACTACACATATTGTTTCCCTGTTCTTCGCCTGATCGACGGCGTGCCCTCTCGCTTCGACCCGTTATCCACCAGATCAAGGTATAATGAATGGGCCTTTCCCAAGAAAAATATTGACCTCACGTTGCTGACCAAGTATCAGCTAGGCAGACAAGGTGGCATTCTCGGTGGCGCCCTTCTGGATTCTGATCAATCTGCCGACGAGTGGAGGAGCTGACACCAGCACCACTCGTACCCGACCCCAGTAATCCTGCAGTTCCCCACCCTCCCGAACACACATTTGTTGGACCCGACCAGTTGGCCAAGGCCTGACTCAAACCCCCGCCATTTGACCCCTCTTACCTCACTGATTCCACAGCCATCTTTACGTGCCGCTGATTTCTTTCTCGGTAAGGCAGCCCAAGTGTGAGCTGCCACTAAACCATAACGACTCACCAAGCCTCACGTGGATCGGTACCGCCTCGAAAAAACGCAAACCATCCCAAAATAAAGCAAACGCTCGCGCAGCCGCAGCGTTCGTCTCGGTCTGTAGCGTCGCCTGCTGTCGAAGATTCGCTCCGTCGATTGCATTCAACCCGCAGCACTACGAGCCAGAAACACTTTGGCTCTCGACGTCATCATGGAACCCCGCTATCCAAACACTGCTCATTATGGCCACGCTCGGCCGCGCTCGCCAACCTTCAACCCAGCAAGAGCCTCGCTGCCCAGCAGTATAGGATATAGTTCAATGTATGGCGGTGATATTCATGTCATGCCAACGTCCCGATACACCGGAACTTCGAATCGCCATCGCTCCGTCGCAAGCCCAACTACCACCACACACTACGCCGTCTCGAAAGATCCCCTGGCCCGGGGCCCCAACTTGCGAGAAGCCAGTCGTTCCCGCCGCTCCTCAACACTTGATTCATCGAGTCCTCGACCTGTCATCGTCACGACAACACAGAGACCGCAAGGCCATCAACCCTCACACTCGTCCGGCGGTAGACACAGCAGCCCGACGCGCGACGAATACCGAACAAGCGATTCTTTATTTTACACGCAACCTGCCTCTTCGATACGGTCCCGAAGTCACGCTCGTGGCAGCTCATACGGCACCCATGACGAGTTTGCTCACCTTCGGACCGGCGACAACCTCGGCGCAAGGCATGATACGTACCGTAGTCGTACGCCAGCCATATATTCCAATACACCACGCCACAGCGGTACAAATGTAGCTTATGGGGGCGAGGGCTATGAGTACACGAATCCCAGCGACTTGGCTCGCTACGACCTCACTCATGATCGCCCAACCCGGTCACAGAGGCGGGAAAGCTTCGATCGTAGCTACTCCCGGCCTCACGTGAACGTGCCCGCGGACGCCGGCTGGGCGTACAACAGTTCCACGCGATACGACAACCGTGGTGGTCCTCCCCCTAGCACCAGAGGCTTCGACAAGATTACCCGCAGCTCCACTGTGGTTCCATACGAGGCGCCGCCACTTCAAGACTCTGTTCCGCCCACGGTCCCCGTAGCGCCACAACGACTCCAGGTCCCCGACAGCCCAAAGGAACGTCGTACCGGCGGTTCACCGGAAGTCGGTGTTGTGTCTAATGCCGAGCCTCGGGGGCCCCGCAGACGGCCAGTCTCGGTTTATCAAGAGGGCGCACCACGCTCTATTCATCACGAAGAGTATTATCGAAGCAGAGAAGATGACCGTGCCCAGAAATTGTCACGCGACCACGAACGGGAACTTGATCAAGGCTATGGCACCATTCATACCGATTCCTTTCGCGACGAAAGTATCGCGGCGCGTGGCTTCGGCATCAGGACGGAACCCCCTGCCGCACCAGCCCGCAACGACGCTGCGACAGCCGGCGCGGATTACGATAGCCGCCGTGATGTGCGCAAAGGAGCCCGCATGCTAGCAGCGAAGGGAGAAGAATTTCCGACGAGGACAACAGGCGGCCAGTCATTTATGACAAGCCCAAAGAGCATCGGGATCGACGCACTAGCACTGCCAATGATGAAGAGCCAGATCGCAACAGGCTTCGCGACAAGGTCGGCACTGGGCTCGGGATCGCCGCTACAGCTCTAGGCCTCCAGCATGCTGTGGGCAAGGACAAGGACAAGGATGGCAAGCTGCCTGAGAAGAGCGATCAAGAACCGTCTCGTCGACGGAGCCCGGATGATGACCGCGATCGCCGGCGGGATGAAGACTTGTCTTCTAAACCAAATGACCGGTACAGGCCACGCGAAGAGTCTCGCGACCCCCGTGATCGCGCACCCGTCATCGTCGAGACCCGTTCGTCCGTGCCACAGCCAAAGGATGAAGCCGATACCCGTGACCGCCTTCGTCGGGAGGCTGAAGCTAGACTTGGCGGCGAAGGTCCGAGAGTAGGGGGCCCTCGTGAGGCATCATCAGATGAGGAGGCCGTTGCCAAGACTAGGAGGAGACGTCCCTCCATCGCATTTGACCCAACAAATACATCGGATCTCAAGGCTCTGAAAGAGCAGATGGCTGCCATGAACGCTGCCGAGCCGTCAAAGCCTAGGTTGGACAGGCCTGTCGATGCAGAATTGTCGAGGGACCCTCGAGAATCAAGAGAATTGCGGGATTCTCGAGACGAAAGGGACTTGAGGGATCCTCGGGACCAAAGGGACTCGAGGGATTCTCGGGACCAAAGGGACTCGAGGGATTCAAGAGATTACCGAGACATCAGGAGTGCAGCTACTGAGCCATCACGGGACTACAGGGAGCCTCACGCATCAACATCCGAGCCACCGCGCGACTATAGAGATAGTCGCGCTACTGTGGCAGAGCCAGTCCGCGACTACAAAGATTACAAAGATGGCCTTCGTTCGGTGCCTGTTGATTCCTACAGGGAACATAGGGAGTCACGCTCGGCGGTGCCGGAACCCACGCGAGATATGAAGGACGCTCAAGTAGTGTCGCCACCTATCCCGCCAAAAGAGCCGATCCTGCCTCCATCTCAAGATTCGACACTTGTTGGGGGTAAGGACGAATCTCGCGGCCGAGAGCTGACCCCTTTGAAAACTGAAGACAAGCAGGTCCGTGTCGTCTCGCCACCTCGCGACAAATCGGATTCCAAGCCATTAAAGGGCATTCTGAAGCAACCCAGCAAATTCCCCGAGGAGCACAACCCTATTCGTGAGGGCGTCGCTCCGCATAAGGACGACAAGAAACTCAAGGATGCTCCTGCAGGCGCGCGCTGGACTAAGATTAGCCGCAAGGTTGTTAATCCTGAAGCTCTGACGGTCGGCAAAGAACGATTCGAGGTTCGCGATGATTTTGTTATCGTTCTGAGAGTCCTAAGCAAAGAGGAGATTCAAGCGTACGCCTCGGCAACACAGATACTCCGAGGTAGGCCATTTGACAGCCTTCTCCAACATGGTGCACTGCTAACTTACTATCAAGAGCGGCGACGAGACGGAGAACGCACAAGCGATCGCGATCGTGACCGCGACGCTGATCGAGTACGAGATCGCGAGCGGGGGCGTGAACGCGATGGCGATGATGATGAAAGGTCAAAGGCGTACCGCCAACACCGCCGCGATGATGATTACGACAAATACGACGACGATCGCGAACAGGATCGCGGAGATCGGCACCGGAGGCACGAAGAAGACTCGAGGCATCACCGTCGACACCGTGGCGATCGAGAGCGTGACCAGCTGGCTGTTGAAGGATGAGGAGGCGTTGACTGCGTGTCAGGCGATGCAAGGCGTGATGCTTTTCTGTATCGGTTTCCGAAAAGAACATACCATTTGATTTTGTGATGAACTCGGTCTTCTATCTCATACTCAGCTAGCATAGTTGTCGAAGTTGGTAACGGTAGCGCGCAACAATTTACGTGTGAGCGAAGCATATTCTGGGTAGCAAGTTTGGAAGTAAGATATTCATACCCGTGTTTTCTCATGATTCACACCATAAACATGTATTGCGTTGACTGAACCATCCATGCCATAGGTGAGCTTTGCTCTCTGGTTTTTTTCCCCCTCCCGAATGACATCGAGAATGGTCACTACGTGTGTAACTCCAGTGAGCTGGGCAACAGGAGCGAGAAAGGAAACCGGTGAGGTGCTACAATGTGTTTGGCCTTGGCAGTAGCTTCGACCGAGTACGTCGCATGGCCTCCACGCCCTACATGGGGGCCCTGACTCTGACCGCCTCGTCAGATGTTTCTCGCTTGCAACTCACTGCAGGACGAACGGGCGCGTGACATAGTGGCGGTCTCAGTCAGGTCTCATTGCAGACTTGCTTTTCCACCACGGTAACTGCCCGAGCAGCGTGCTATAGATGGCCTTTTCTGATAAGGCCCGCCGCAGGTGGTGTCGAACAACACATCCGTTGCTTCTTGGGATTTTTCCGAACGGACGGGAGGGTGGGGGGAGGGGGGGGGGGGGGGGGGGGATTGCGGGGGGGGGGTTGGTTCATGGCTGGTACTCATCAGTGCCGTCCGCATGCATGGTTTCGTGGCGCTGCTATTGTTGGCGCTCGTCAGCCTTGTGTCCAGCCAGGTGGAGGGTTTATTGTCCGGAGCGTTTAGGCCTCGAGGCTGCACGAAGGTTTTGCTTGACCTACCTTAATTCCACATATCGTAAGCACATGATCTGAGTCAACGAGGAGAGGCAGCGGCATGTACATCATGCCATTTGGGTTTTCTTTTCTGTACCGGGTGCTGCTGGACCTTGGTGCGGGGTATGGTGATGCTTTCTTTTTGCACAGTCTTGCATCATGAATGATTGTGTGATTGTGATGATGCCGGAAATGTACACGGAATCTGATCGCAGTCAGAGGCTGTAACCTTTCGGTCGCAATTGCATCAACATGCCAGTGGAAAGACTACTCTAGGAGGCCCGTTTCCCCTTGATAGCAAATCTCCGGATGAGATGTTGGAACAACTACCACTGAGAAGTCGACGGGCTGCCAAGATGGCAACCGACACGGCAACATGAATGGAAATTCTATCGAGTTCCTGCATAAGGGCCGTACCATTTCTATGGGTCTTCAGCAATACTGACAATAGTCTTCTGATTTACTGGCATGTTCAGGGAGGCTATGTGGTGGCACATCGTTTTTTAGAGTGATATCAAACTCATGAGATTCACAGGCACTCGAGGTCAGTCCCCAAAAGTCACCACAACCATAAGACCGCACTGTCGATATTTACTTAAAGAGGCTAAGAGCTCTATCCACGAATAAAATGGAATCCATGTGAGGCTTTCTTTCATCTGCCTCTTCCCTACGAGAGCCCTGGGTTTCTTGGACACTTACGTGATCTACCAACCTGGCGAGAAGAAATCGAGAGACGGCCAACGCTGCCGAGCAATCAATATACAGCCCGGCACTTTACCATGTGATGAATCACGAACCCGAGACAACCAAAACCCAGTGAAAGTCTGGCCGGTACTACAATGATACATGTCTCAAAGAGGCGTCAAATCTCACAAACAACACCAAGAAACATGGCCATCTGAAATATGACGTATTCCATTGCGCCGCAAACTTCAAGTCAAAACTCTACTGAGCAGGCACTCAGTCTTGTTCAACGCCTAGACATCGCGCGTACCATGTAAAAGGCTGCGATCACGACAAAGGTACTTTGCATAACCAGGGGTGGCCAGGTATCCCAATACGGTTGCAGAATCAAGCTCGTCTCGAGAGAGAGGTTCATCTCATTTGGGTGACCCAGGAACAGGAATCCCAGCCCCCCACGTGAAATACGTGCCACTGAGCGACAGCATCGCCTGGCCTTCGGCATGCTTGAACCGTGCAACTAGGTAGACATGCCGCGCTGCGCCAAGTATCCTGGGGTTAAGTGAGGACTAGGGGACAGGAGGAAAGGGGGGGCGCCTCCTAAGACACGTCGCGTCGCACCCCAAAGCGCTCTGCATTGCGACGCAGCCCGCGCTCTCGTTTTCTGCGACTTAACCCCCAGATACGTCTCATTTCCTTGCTGAGCGCCACTCGGCGACGTCAAATGGCCGCTCGCCGGCCCCGCCGACCGCCTTTGCCGTCCGGGGGTTTGTTCTTCTTCGAGATGTGCAGCCAACTTTAAACGGGCAGACAAACCCATCACGGCTACGCGAAACTCCAGATCACGCGTAAGCCCGTTACTGTAATCTGTGAGACGGTCGAGACAGAGCTAGTACAGCGTTCAGCATCTGCGACTATGCACATCTGTAGGCGACTCATGTGAAACGACATGATGCGAGAGGTTGTTGCAAGTAGCTCGGCCAAGCGCAAGAGATAGATGAACACCGCAAGGTCACATTGATGAGTATACAGTTTCCCAGGTGGATAAGGAGAGCCCACTTTCGACGGCGGGCGAGTCTCTGTCTCATTCAGCCACCTGTCAGCGACGAAGACTGCCGACGACGACATGGGATCCACCACCGCCCGATAGAGTACTAGCAACAGGACGCACGGAGCGCGCTCATTCTTGTCTCTTGCCCCATTCTCTGTATCGCTATGCCCGAGGTGATACTCAGACAGACTCGAAGCGAAATAGGGTCAGCTGATACAGCCGGACCGTGTACAGTCTCCGCTGTGGTCCAACAAGGACCAACAAGCGGCCGGTGCGCTAAAACTCAAGCACTTTGCATGCAATTCTCATGCTTAATGTCGATTTCCCCTCTGCTCCCAGATGGCCGGGCGTGGTCTCGAACCCGAAGGCCCTTCTTAAAAGGGGTAATAAGGCCTCAAAGTTCGTGTCCCGATGATTCAATTCGCCACGGGTTTGAAATCTGACCGTAGTATCAAAAAGACAGTTCAGACTGGAGACCGGTGAAAGGCAGAAAGGGTGGCTGGGCGAGATTAGACACGAGAAGACGTACTGTCTCGCGGAGACGTCTCCGCTTTCGAGGCTGGCAGATCGAGACATGCCTGTCGAGCTCTGATGCCAGGCTCTGGGCCTTCTGGCCGTCGGAAAAGCAACTTCGTTGCGTGATCTGCGGTCTGGGATGAGCTGTTCCCTCTCCACCCCAAGAGCCTGGTGGCGTCTTGAAATTGTTTCCCGTTGAGAAGCCGGGCTACAGACCTTGTAGGCAGCAAGGAGTGCCTGCGAGGGAGAGCTGGCAGCATGGCCTTCGGCCCTGGCCAACTGATTGACGACGTGGATGACTGCTAGGATGACCGTGGTCAGGGCGGGGAACCACCCGTATGGCTTCGGCGGCGTGGAGGTCCTCGGTGACATGCCCGTATTAAGCAAGCAGATCTACCGCTCTGGTACTCAGATCTGTGGCTGTCAGCTGTAGTGGTACGAATGCGACACATTGACAGTGACGATGGCTTGACAACAAGCGGCTTGGTATGTGCGTGTGGGGAGATTCAACTCAGCGAAGGACGGCACACACTTGGCCAACACTTGCACACACTTGGCCAACACTTCCGCATCCAGGGACTGGTTGTTTAGAAAACTTTGGCGATGAAAACTATTATCATCAAGAAATAGTCAGTCCTTGTGCCTCAACCTCTGATAAGTATGCCGCACAATACACTGGCTAATGGTGCCCGAGTTGAACAGACCTGGCCTTCTGGGCGCCTAGGGGGCCAGTATCATTCAGGGCATTGGATCTAGGCCATTGACCGGCGTCTGAACGAGGAGCCTTGCCGACTTGTGTTGTCCATCGCTCGTGCCGTGCATCTGGGATCGCCACTCACCCACATGTGCTTTGAGCGAACATGTGTGGACATCCACGCCTCACAAGATTCTTGTCAATATGGTTGCCTCCATCAGCAGGGACGATCGGCGCCTGATATGCCTTTCTGTTCCGATACGATGCAGAATAAGCTTGAACCCGGAGCTGTGGCCCTGTTCATCGAACCAGTGGGCCGCAAATTTTATACGATGGTAATTTCGTCTCGGCCGTCTTATGGGTCGCTCAGAGGGCCAGAGCAGTGAGTCTTGCCGATGGAGGGACTTGTGATGTCGACATCTACCGGGGCCGACGATACCGCGATAATACGCACGTTTTCTACACACACAGAGACACACAACCTAGGTCCGTCAGCGTCGTATCAAAGCCTTCAAGATTCGCTCGAGATACTCTGCTGATCTGAAGAAATTCACAGGGCATCGAGCGCTGCTTGAGACGAAATGGGGGTTGAGCCGTTGAGTTGCAGGGGTGAGGCAAGCCTCTATTCTCGGCTCAAGCACCCAAGTTGTCGCTTTCGTCGCCTTGCTGCCTTGTCACCGTCCAGGCGGATGACCCTTGCCAACTTGACAGGCATGCTTGTGGGTCATTTAATCCCTCCACTTTCCCCCTGACCTGCTTGTGGCGAAAAGGGTATCGCTTGATGCAGGCGTTGGGCACCAGGGTGAGGCCCCCTGGACACACGGGGTGGGGGTGTGATTAGATGGGCTGGGAGCCTTTTCGTCGCTTGACCGACATTCGGGAGTTTACCGCGCCAGGCTCACGGAATATGGTGGGGTGTCGCCTCTTGGAGAGCGATAGAGCCAATTTTCCCGCCTTCCCCCTTGCGCGTCAAAGAGTGGCCGATGGGATTTCGATTGGCAGGGCCGTGTTGCTTGCACGCGATCGCGAAATCTCTAGCCTCTGGATCAAAAGCACAACCGGCGTCAAATGGCCATGTGGATGTCATGGAAGCCCAGGCTAGCCAGTTGGGCTGCTTCACCGAGCTTTGAAATGGTCTGGTCCTGATGATCACTTTCCCTCGAGAGGCTTGC